ATGCGGGACGATGCGCCCGGCTCCGCTGCCTCAGCGCACGCCCCGCTCCCGGGCTGACGCAAGCCATTTCCCTCTGCTTCCCTGAACGCAGCACACCAGGCTCAGCAAACAAGCAGCAGCCCGACAGTTCCACAGCGCTCACGCTCCTTGCGCATCAGCGCGGAAGGCAGACAGCCCCCTTTCTGGCTGCTGTGCTCCCTCCCCATGTCCAAAATGCATTTCCAGTGCATTTCAGTGGAGGGCAAGCCATTTGTGATTAATCACTGCTGTACACAATTAACCATGTTACTTTCACTCTCTCTGAAAATGAAAATTGGATTTGCCAGTTAAAGTTGTAAAATATTACTTGTGATATTGAAGAGAATTAAATAGAGAACAGTTTAGCAACTCCCTCCCCTGTAAAATACACAGTTAAGAACAATTTTGCATTTTTGTATTAAATTAGCACCGTAACACATATCCAGGAAGAACATACAGTTTATTACTACAACCCAGACTGAAAGCCACCCCTCATGGCTACATTTTAAGCCCACTAAGTCACGCATGAAGCAATTTTCTCACCAACATTGTCTTCCCGTTTCCTGGTGGGCCGAACAGCAATAAACCACGTGCAGGAGCTCTAAGTCCTGTAAATAACTGAAAAGTACATCATCGTAAGCTACTTTCAAAGACTTAAAGAAAACCTTGATTCACCACCTCAAGGAACTGGTTTAAGACTGAGGAACGGCTCACTGGCTGGTACTGGTAGCAACAGCAGCAGTGCTACAACAGCATAGGTTTTTAGAGAACCACATTCTATTACTGGCTTCACCTAACGCATGTCACTACTGCTTCCGACACAACAGTTCGGTTACATTATGATCATTCTGTGCACAGAGGCACTGTGAAACGAGTATAAGAGGCAGTAACGCATTCCTCAAGACAGCTCAGCAAGTTTAAAGCTTCAATACCATTTAGAAAAGGGAGAAATGCAGGTGCGTAGCAGTAGAGTTAAAGCAATGTTCCTACTAACTCCATATAGAAGAAGCGCTTCATCTTTCTCTTTCTTTAATGAAATGAAGCTTGAGAAGACGTAAGCTTTGATCAAAATTAATTTTACTTAACCACCTACTCTCTCTATATGCTACTGATAATAATCTCGCCCCTCTCACTTTGCCTTGTATTATTCTTTCCTACACTACAAAATTGCACCCATCAGATGTAGCATCACAACAAGCAAATCTACAAATTCTGGTAGGGCACATCTCTTCTAGTTAATCCTGCAGCCTGTCTTCCCCCAGCACTTTGTCTTTACCGGTTTCTTCCAGAGTTTCGGAGTTCTGTTTTTGGCCTCACCCCTCCACTCCAGCCTCCAAAAATTCCAACAAGCAAGCAAAAGGAATAGCAGGGAGTCACTTATATATAACCCCATGCCCAAACACCATCAGCAGTCACTCCTTCCCAGGGTATCCATGGCAAGAAATGGCTCCATCAGCACTGTAGTGCTTTTAAGATGAGCAACCACAGTCCAGCTGCAACTCCCATTTATCACTGACACATATTAAGCTTCTGAAGTTTTTATTAAGAGACTAATCATACTAAATGGGGTCTGAACTAATTGCTACCGTTTTATTAGCACCTTACTGCTGAAATGGTTGCAGTCATGTCTCTACCCATCATTTTCTATTCTTTCACCTCAACTCTTGCTCTCCTACAAAAATACCATTAATTGGCTGGTTTAAATATGAATTTGAGTTCAAAACTTCATTAAGGTTAAGACTGAAGTAGTATTTAATTGACTAAATATTGCCCTATAGTTGCCACATCTATCATGTTCATTTACAAGGAAGAAAGCCAACCTCTTTTCCTACAAGCAAAGTTTAAAAATTCACAAGTTTCTTTGTCCTTGTTATATCTCAACCTACAACAAGGTCAGGCCCACTGCTAGCTACAGTAAGATGAAAAATACCTTGTTGAAAGTATCAACTATTATTGGAAAAGAGTCATAACTATTCCAAGCCTCGTATCTCAAAGTCGTTCCCACCCAGCTCATGGCATCAGTGTTATGAACAACAAACTTGACGTGAAACACTGTGATAGCAGAGATGGTACAATGACATTTTCCTTCTGCAGTAGAACACCAGAGCAGGCGTATTTGATGCCAAAGCTTTATTTTCCTCAGACCTAGTATTCCTGTGATGTTATGCCAGGTTTAGGGTTTCTTCCTTGTGACACTTCAAAACCAGAAACTGCATTAAAGGAAAGAGGAAGACCACAGAGCAACTCCAGTCACCCGACAATATGACGAGAGACCCGCAAGCAAACAAAAAAGAAGAAACGGGAATTTTGCTTGAATAATCAGCACTGCAGTAAATCACTGCATGCAATTTCTGCTAAAGTCCAGCAACTTTCAGCAAGTACAGCTTTAGAAAATGACCAATTTCATTTTTTTAAAAAGTGGCTCAGAAAATTCCAGTAGTATACAGACCAGACCTGAATCTAGGCAGTCACAGTAGTTGAGGTATTCTGTGATTCTGTGAAATAGGTACCACCTATTATAAACAAAAGCCTAAATGACCAGTTTCCACTCAGCCAATTAAAGAGGAAATCTGCCCTCAAATGTTCTACACCTCAGTGTACTTGCACGTTCACTGCTACACTGCTTTGCATCCTCTCCTGCTGTGAATAAATTATCCAGAATGTCTAACCAACATCCACACAGAGAATATGACAATACCAATGTAATATTTTTCAAATCAGATGGTGTCGTAACATAATTTACCCATACAAATCTCATCTCTTTCACTCTTCCAATTTTGGCCTTGATCCTTCATATGCCCGTACAGGGTTGGACAAACAGCTATAGCTATCTGGAATAGTCAACCTCACAAATTTTCAGGATTTTGGGGGGGGTTTGGTTTGATTTTTAAGGGGTTTGTGGTTTTCTCAGGGGGGTTGTTTTGGTTTGTTTTTTAAGCTACTACTTCAGTCACTTTCTCCAACATTGACTAACCAGAAGGCAAGCAATTTCATGGTAGTTTAACAGATCAATTCTTCATTCTCCTTTTCCAGGATGGCTGTCTCCACACAGCTATCAATAGCAATCATAACCAGTGAAGACAGGATTCAAGAATCACCACTTCATCTGTGAAGCACAACACATTTCTTTGATTCTGTCACAGAGTAATAACAAAATGCCATCGCCTACCTCAGGTCTAAGTGAAGGAAGGATAACAATTTCTTGCAAAGCTTGTTTAGCCAGTTCCTGCCCTGCGATATCATCAAATTTGACAGCTGGCCCACTAACAAAGAAATGGAATACCAATTAGTCTAACAATGGGATGCTCTTTTTCAGCTGCAGCTGACTAATTTAATGCATTTGTGCATTTGACTATTTATACAGAACCCTTCTGAGGAAATCTACAACTTACATTGCTAAGCATTAAAAAAGACAAGCGTTTCTGATTTCAATTTTCATCCTTTTGCCAAAGTAACATCAACCCCCACCCCATCAAAACAAGCCCCCCAAAAACCCCACAACAAACTAGAAGTACTAATTTTCACTCCAAAGAGACAAGACCGTACTGAATGAAAAACTGCTTTTCTGCATTGAAAAGCCTACTTCTCTTCAGACTTACCTATCAACAATTTCATTCAGGATAAGATTAGCAAGATTACTGTCCACATTTCTAAATATCTTCAAGTCTTTCTTTTTTCGAGGAGCAGGGGTAGGAGTAGAAGGCTTACTTGTTCTGCTATTTTTAGGAGCAGCCTGAAGAGGGGGAAGGAAAAAACCAAAAAAGACAAGTTCATACTTGTAAAAATAATTTTGTTAACAGTATCCTTTACATTTCATATGCTCCAGTAAAACCTAATACATTAACACATACCAGATATTCTGATGCTGTATTTTGCTACAAATCATACTATCATATTCAGCCACAGGTAGAACATCTTTGGCTACAGTGGCGATGGTGTTTTTTTGTTTGGGGGATTTTTTGGTTGGGTGATGTTTTGTTGGGGGATTTCTGGTTTTGGTTTGTTTTGGTTTTTTTTTTAATATTTTATTTAACTACAGTATTTTCCCCCAGCATACTCCAGAAATAGAGCATCACAAACTGTTTCAGATTCTCAATACGTACAAGCAAGAGTTTCTACTACTGTCGTACTTTGACAATGGACCACTTAAAAGCCTTCATATTATGGCACCAATAATGTTTAAGCACATTTATGTTCTGTCCATTCTGCTCTTTATTTTGCTTTACTGTGGGAGTAGCAGGGGGAAGGTAAGGATGGAAGGGACAGAGATGGATCAAAAGAAATACAGCATTTTTCTGTCTTATTAGTCTAGGACTTACTTTTGTATTTAAATCATAATCTAACCATAATTTGCTTTTCAATGTGGTTGCAATACAACCTGTGCATGCACGCTTTGGAAGAGAAGGAATGGGTAGGGGAAAAATCTGTAGTTCTGGAGTAAGAGGGTTTTTTTCTCCATCTTTTACATACTGGGAGTAACATTCATTTTCCTCCTAGATAAGCTTCCCACAGTTTCCCATGCAATTTTCAAAACAAGTATTATCATTTATTACTGCAATTACAATTAAAATCCATTTGCCCACGCAGCCACCCAAAACCTCCCAATTTCTAAAATCCACCTGGCACCCTAGCTCAAGAGGCCTGGCCAAAAAATAAGGGGTTTAGGGTTTTTTCCAAAATTTTTTTGTTACTACAACACTGCAATAAAAGGCAGTAAATCCAAAGTTTATCCTGGAATTTACATTGAATTTCCAAGTGTATATGCTACATTTATCCTCACCATACCTTGTGAGTTGAAGCTGCAGGATTAGGTGCTGGTCTAGACACAGAAGATGACGATATCCCACTGTAGCTAGGAGTTCTATGGTGACCTGAAAGGCCTGTGGATCCAGTTTTAGCAACAGTTTTTGAACGAGGAAGCGAATTACTCGTGTGAGTTAAGGGATCCTTCTTTTTTGGAACTGCTCCACTTTCTATAAAGAAAACCAATGTCATGAGAACATTTTCAGCAATCATACTTTTACCATCAATTCTAATTTCAAGGTAGTATTGCTGACACATATAATGCAGTGTTATAGCAGAATAATGCAAGTTTTTAAAGAGGTTTACTACTTTTAAGGGGATGTTAACTGTAGCTTTCCTCTACACTTGAGTTTCGAATTTTGAGGATTTCTAAACCAACACTAGTTAGCCACCTTCGAAAAGCTGGAGATAGTCAAGTCCTGCAAAAAAAGCAAGAACATCATCTATTCCATAAAATAGAAGACAACACCAGCCAGAGCATGTTCCTTCCCAAGAACTCCTAAAAGTAATCATAATAACAATCCTCCAATTTCCAGCCATTAGATTCAGAGCATTAATTTCTTAAGTGAAGCAGGCTAGTCACTTTGGACACTAGCTAATACTGTCTAGCACCTTCCACATAGAAGCTTCTGTGTGGAAGGCATTTTAATTTGGGAAAATTAAAACAGTTATACCTGCAAGCAACTATCAGAATCTTTTTCTTACAACTCTGTTTCACTTCAGGAATCTCAACAGTTAAGTCCGTTCCGAATGAACAGCTAGAAGCAGCTTACCTTCCTACATTTAAAATTAAATCATCAAAAATTATATTATACTACTGAATTCAAACACCACTACAGCTTCCATGCACACTTGCTCTGATTAACCTCCACTATGGAGCAGGATGGTCTCAGATCTGGTGACAGATACAACTTAACATATCAGCCACAGGCGACTGAACTACAAAACACCATTCTGGCCCAGTGTAAGTGAAATAGCATCTGATTTCTACGTACTCCATATGGGATACACAATAAAATGAGGCTCCTTGGCAGAGAAATGGCAGGCGTAAAACATCAAACAGAGACTAAGAGGTAAGAATGTGCTACAGTGAGCACGAAGGTTGGTCAGGCTGGTTAAGGACTACGGCACAGCATAAGATCAGGGAGGTTTTGTGGTGGGAATACAGTACTGGAAGCTGTCTAGTACAGCACTGTAGTCTGCAATAGAAACTGTAAATACTGCCTTATTTTATATCCTTTTAAAAGGATTACAGAGCCTTTTGATTAGATAGAGAAACTTGGCATCAGAGGTAAAGAAGCTTAAGATGGTCTTCAGCTACAAGTTTCTTCACTACGACGTTAGAAATCTGAAACTCAGTTTGTCTTGTTAGTCTTAAGTAACGGGCCAAAGAACTCAGTTTTAAGGAAGTTAGTAATTCTATGAAGAATTTTTAATACTGCAGTTCAATGAAAAACACTTCAAGTAGAAAGCCTCAATTTTGAATGCTGTGTTTAAAAATTTCAAGTAAGAATACTTCAGTGAAACAATATCATGGAAGGATTAATTAATTACTATCATGTTCTCAGCCTCTTTAAACATAAGTCTTGCATACTACCAGGAGCATATCTTTACACAGTCTGCAGGTGTGTTGAATTATTTGGCTAACAAGCTTCTAAAGCCTTTCTTCAGCCACAAGTCTACCCCTTTTTAGAGTTACAGGAACTTCAGGGACCATCAAACAACGCAGATATATCAATATGCAAAAAACAAGGTAACTTGGATATAGTTAACTACATTTACCTGTAAGATATTTCTTGTTAAAAAAACAAACAAACCAACCACAAAAATCCCAACTAGCTACCTAACTACAACATATATAGATCCAGAGCTGGTTAAGTTTACTTAGTCATTCCTGCAAAGGAATTTCCAAGTGAAACACTCTTCAATATTAGGCATCCCTAGTAACTTTCAAGTTCAAAAAGCAACATATAGATCTATTAAAAAACGTTGCTACTCAACACTTTGACTAGCCCATTTTAATCAAAAGGTGGCACTCAGTTTGGTTACGATTTTCTTCTTCAGCCTCATCTGCACAGCTTTAAAGTCCACATGTGAAGGCTTCAAAAAGCTAAAGTAGTTTTTCTCCATCTCCTTCACCTAACATGTTGCTCAGTTATCACACCTTCCCAGAGCTACCCCCATCTACTGAGAATGGTACGCACACATTACAATTGTGACTATCATAAAATTACACAGATAAGGAGTATTTCAGGAAGCTGGAAATACGGGGTGAGGGGGTGGAGAAAGGCTTAAATACAAATTACAATCTACTCTAGCTGTACCTCCAGGAATCAAGACCATCAAGTTTCCTTATGTTTTGTGGTAAGTCCTGATGCGTAGCACAGAACGGAGCACTGATGAACTACTCTTCAACATTGTTGTTCAGTCAACTCCAGAGGGAAACTTCACTTTATATACAAATTTTCACTGAAGCAGCAAATAAAAATGTGATCAAACTCTTAAGAACTACAGTTTATCTAAAGTTTACCTATCTCTAAAGCATGAAGTGCTGAAGTGCACATGTATGTCAATTGTCAGAGAGCCTCTACTGTTTCATTATGTAAAATACATATTTTGCCCTAACAAATGCAAAACCCCCAAAACACATTTCTTATCCATTTGTATTTGGCATCTGCTGAAACACTGAGAATATGTTGCAAGTGGCCTTAAAACCCTTTGTAGTATCTCCAGCAGCCTTTTGCCAAATGTTTCACTGTTCTGTCTAGAACGGTAAGGAAGTGCCAGAAACTTGTTTTAATCACAAAGAAAGAGAAATTTAATGCTTCCTCTGATCGTATATCATGCTGCGACTTACACGTTAAATGTAAAATGGCAGACTGGAATTACCGTAATACTACCAGTATCGTATGGCCAGTAAATAAGTCCATAAAACTCAAACACTGCCTTTGGCAAGACTGGCATAGCCTCCTTCCCAAGCTAGTTTAAAAACAAAAAAGCAACCACCCACAATGCGTAGGAAAGCATGCATGTCTGGATCAAGGCTACTTGTTATTACTCTCAAGACAAGTTACTACATAGCCTTCTGCAACTGAAGGACAGGTGATTACTGCTGTAATGAGGTCTTACAAAACCTCATGATAAATCTAACAAGAAAAATCTCTAGCTATTCAGGTAAGTTAGGAAACTATGAACGAGGAAGACCGGGACAGGTAGCCATACGAGATAGAATCAAGTAAATTGGCCTGAAAGGCTGATATAAATAATATCTTGAAAGAAGGAAGAACCTCAGAAACACTTTGGAAATATAAAAAAAGTGCAATATAGCTGTGATAATAAAATATCAGACAGAAATAAGAAGCAAAAACATCTTAGAAGACTTTGGCTTTGAAAGGCAAATGAAAGAAAGCAAAGCACTTTTTCACCAAAGAATGGACAAAAATGCACTTTCTTGATGTTAAAACTATAAATGACCATGTTTCACACCTCATAAAACCCTAGACTTTTAAAAAGCCCAGCCTGATTTGGCAACAGTGCAGGTTAACATATTATGTATGCAGAAGAATGAAGCTTATGCCAGAGCCCTGTGGCTCAGTACCTCTGCAGTGCCTGTACCTTCTCAGTAACAGCAGTCCTCTTAAGTAGCCTGCAAGCTGATTTTGTACAGTTTTCTAAGGATTTGCCATCTATTTTGTTTTTAAATGACTGCAGTTGTCCATGTTAAAATACCATCTTTATTCCAACATGTGTAAAGGAAGAACAGCAGCAAGATGATTAGCAGATTGAAGCAAAATTGATACAGTACTTTTAAGAAACAAGGGTAGCACGAACATGTTCTCACAAACACAGCTCACTCCCCCCACACCCAAAAAAAAGAGACAGAGAGCATTAGAGAGAGTGAGCATGTGAGCACAGGCACCAGCCAATTAAGAAATTCAGACGACTGTCAATAAGCTGACTATCAGGGACCCCACAGCTGCAGAAGTTGTTCAGTACTTTGGGTAAACCTCTGACTTCCACAAGTTACAAGTCTAAACTTTACCTTTGGCAATGTATATAGAAATGGAAAGGGAAGAAGCCTCTTGAAGCTCTGTTCAAAGTAATCAGTAGACACCTGGTACCTAACTTTTTTTACGACCTGCTCTTTAGTTCTTCTGTCTCTCCTCAGATCCCATTGAGTGGTAAATGAACATTTCTCCCCTAGCCTGCGCTCCTTTTCAGAAAGTGGGAAGACACTCTCTCAGAAGAAAACATCTCCAGAAGACCACAGGCCTTTGCAGTTGTTTCACTACCCTTTCCTCCACAGTTTTGCAGAAGTGGTTTAGTCATCCACCCTCCATAGATCACCAGGAATATGACTTCAAACAGGTAAACTGACTAAAATCACTTTCCACAAATTTACTAACAGTGACCACCTCCTGCTACAGGAATTTCTGTAAACCTGCCACAGAGCTGGCAAAATGTTTCTTCATTTCCAGTAGATGCCAATGAATATTCTATGCTTTGCTAGTAACAGTTTGGAGTAATTAACAGTTTTAAGAGTGAAAGTTCAGTCTAGCCTTCTTCTGCAGCATCTAATTCTGAGATATATTGAGAAAAAGGTAAAAAAAATATAAAGGAAAGAGTTTAAAGAAAAAGCTGTTCATATTGAATCAGATGCAGCATGTTATCAACTTCTGTGTGTATATACGCATGTATTTCTTCATTCAATCTCTAGCCAACCAGGTAAAAAGACAGGAGTTGTGCTGGATCTTTTAAGACAAAGAGTTCTGAAACTCAATCTACACAGGAACTTATACTGAAGAGCCGTTTTAAACACACCTTTTTGACAAATGCAGTTAACAAAAATACCACACATACAGTAATGTAAAGGTGCCTAACATGATATAGTTCCAATACTTTAAGTAATACATTAGAAAGAATAAAACCAAACAGCAAGATGACTTCAGACTACAAATGGAGCTAAAAACAGCATGCGGTTTCAAGCTTAGTTACTTTAAAAACTGCTGCTCTTGACTCAGTACACAGGCTTTATGAATTCCATTGCTTGTTAGCTCTCCATTTTATTTAACCTTATTATAGTCTACTGTACAAATTATCAGTTGAGATCACGGTTGTGACAGTAGCTTACTGCTGGCTTACAACATTCCCTGAAGACACTTCACAAATCTCACAGTAACTTTACTCCTTGGGTATGGACAAACAAGTTAACTTCTGGTATTTTAGTATCCCTGGTGCAATCTTCTGGGAAAGGATAAAAACAACCTTCTCTGACAAAAAGCTAGAGCTGTTTCCTCCCCCTTGTTTTAATAATGCATCACTTTCTCAGAGCAAAACATCCTGAAATTTAAAGCAGCTTAATGCAAACGCACTCTCACAAAAACGTAAAGGAAGAACTACTTATGTAGGCACAATATATAACCTACATAGCCTACATTGACTTTGATGCTTTCTAACACAGGTTTAATTTCATTCCCTTAAGAATATAACACGAGAAATATGTTCTAAAATATTGTCATAGTAAATAGTTTTACTGTAAGAGAGAACTGAATACTAGAAAATAAAACAGTGTTGTCAAAGTCATAGAAAAGATGGAATGTATTTTACATAAAGCCTTAAAAATTTTCCCTGTAGTACACCAGAAACTGAGAGGCATCCCCTCAATAGGCGCTGGTGAAACCAAACCCACCTGACTGGAGATGTCCATTGCGGCATGCCAGGTTAGTACTGTCATTATAGACCTCCATTTGCGGCTTGGAAATTTGCAAAACTGCCTGCAGCTTCTCTACATAGTAGACAGAGGGGGAGGGAGGAAAAAGGACAAAATAAACAAACAAAAACAAAAAACCAACCAAGAAAATTTATGTATGTTCAACACACAAATGTCAAGTTTGGCTTTGTTATACTTGATACAGGGTTAAAGATAAAGGAGTATTTCTATCTACTCTACATGTTTAGCAAATTTGCAAGAAAATTCTGTCAGTATGAGCATGGCTGAAAACAGCTCTAAAACTAGCCATTTATAGCTCAGTTAACTACAACAATATTTCCAGTATAGTGATTGTAATTACTTCCCAAAAGCCATGGTCAAGATTAATTCAACTTCATTTATTAAATATTTGTGTTGGTAACCCATTTCTTAAAGTCCTCCCCAAGGTGTTACTTTTGACCGTCACCACTTTCCTGCACATTAAATGTTTCAATTAAGTAGTAACAGCCAGTCAACATTTTACAGAAACCTCAAATGTTCAAGCAAAACACCATATATACATTACAAGGATGTCTTTCAAGATCTCTGTTTAGAAATATAATTGCCTTGAAATTAAGTCAGTAACATTGTCATGCAAGCTGTGTTCTTTAAGAAGATTAACTTCAGAAGAATCTGAATACAAGGTTTATAGGTTAAAGATTAAGGACAAAGAAATTAACTTTAAGAAGGCATGATAAACTAGCCAAAGCATAAGTCAAAGAGGTGTAAGGCTACAAACACCACAAAACACAAATTAAGTCTCAGGACTATTTGTTCTCTGCAGCTCACCTACCACTCCTGCTTTTCCCACTGCCGTTAAAAACCCTTTCTGGGGTGCTTTACAGCCTCTCCCACCTTCATTTCACACACACCCCCCTTTCTTGTAAAAGCAAAACATGGTTGTACACATGTCACACTCTCCACCCCCCTCCCCCCTTTTCTTTCCTCCTCTCCCCCAGGAGGTGACAGCACCAAGAAGCTGCAAGCAAACAGATGGCCTAGTAGAGAAGTAATGTCCTCCGGCAACATGAAAGCACATATGGCAAAACAAGCCAATTTCTACTAGGGAAAAAAAAAAAAAGGTCACAAATGCCCTGACTGGAGGAAGAATTGCCATTCAGAGCTTGCAGATCACACAACCAACAAGGACACACACTTCCTTGGTTCCACTTCTTTGCCTATCACAGGTCTTTTTCCAGTCTTTCTGCTTCATTGCTTTCTTCTTCTGCCTGCTCCTGATGGCTCGCCGCTTAGCTTCCCTGAAAAGTATCTTTAGGCCCAATAGTTTAAGTGATGGTTTGGTAATAATGTCCAGACTGAACAAGATGCAGTTTAGAGTGAAAACTTAGTAGCCACAGGCAAACATGAAAAGCTGAAGTTCAAGCTCAGTACATGCACCCAGGGCTTACTTTATTCTAAATTGAAAGCACTGAAGAGTTGGGGAACGTAAAACAAAAAAACGTTAGTCAGACAAGAACAGCCTAGAAACAACCACAAGCTTTATTAACTTGCAAGAAGACACCCTAAGAAATTTCCCTCAAAAGAAGTCTAAGAACAGTCCCTTTGGCATGACCGACCACCAGCACCATGTGCTGTCTCTGAGGGAGACAGCAGAACCGCCTACTCCCTGCCCCGCACATGCAGGCTCAACAGGAAGTACCTAGAGAGGCTTAGGAAACAAAATCAGTATCAAGAGACTTGGTGAGACATTAGATAATCAGGTAAATTTTAGAGAACGTTTCTGAACTTTGCAAAAGAAATTTTCTACTGAGTGACCACGACAAAATCAATTGGCTTGGGCAGGAATTCAGGAAATGCTATTTGCTTCAACACTACAGCTTGAGACTGGGGCTTTACCACGATTATCAATGGCTTCGCAAGTTCCAAGTATTCAGGAAGTCCAAAACTGCAACGAAAACCAAATCTAATCCAACTGTTGTCCAGTTTCAATTCATGCACTGTCTTCCCATCACATTGCATATTAACATGCAATTTTAATATTGCACATAAAATTACATAAAGCAAATATATCACTTTTCTTGAGAGAGAGTGTAGCTGTAGACCCCTTTATAATAATGAAAATAAATTCAACTATTAAATATTATTCCAGGGAATTAACAGGACACCCTGTCACCTTCCTCTTAAATGCTTTCTCCCTATGTCTCCAGACATCAGGAAAAAAAAAAGTTTACAGAATCTCATTCACTATTTCTCCTTGATAATACAACATTGACATAAACCTACTAAATAAACAGCACTGAAGCCATTGTCTCCTTTGGGCAACACTAGACCTCGAATTCAAAGTAACTATTTCTAATAAAAAAGAATGTTACTCTGTAACACAAACCTCATGCAAAAACACCATCACTTCCAAGAAAGTGGAAGGATCCCAAAAGGTGTCCCTTGAAGCCCATTATCTATACATGAGCAGAATTATTACCACAGAGGATACTAATGAAAGATATTTGAATTATGTGTCATGTGCATCCTTCAACCAAAATACTTAAGCTAAACATAGTATACAGAAAGGTCCTAGTGCTGACAGACATCTGTCCCCCTACAGAAAGTCTCTCTCAAATGGGAGAACCAGATTGGTACAAGTGTATAGTGTTAGAACTGAATAGTGTTGCACCAAACACTGTGGTATCTGTCTTTCGGAAAGGCAAACTGCTGAGTTGCATGTCTCAATTGTAGAAAACAAATATCCTCCTGTGATTCTCAATACATCAAATACAACAATTCTAACACGTGTAATGAGTCACATCAGGTATATGAAGACCTTCAGAGAAAGATTTATCCACTCACCAAAATAACTGTACAGCTAACACAGCCCAAACCGTGTCAAAAACAGGGGCCACCACCCATTCATATGGTAGAACCTGGAAGTCCCCTGATGGCTAGCACAACTCAATGTTGTCACTAGACTGCCAAAGTGATTGAGGCATCTTGAGGTGCTCTGAAACATACCTGGAGTAACTTCAGCTTTCAGGCTGTGTCATACTACAGTTTCAAACAGAAGACAATACAGTAATTTAGACTCAAGATGAAAATAAGGTTCAATAGTAAAGCCAACATCCAAGGTCAGTAGCTACGTCCTCTTGGTCGAACATTAAAAGGCATCACTGGTGTGATGACACACAGTGACAACACACGGCTATGATCAGACATGGCACTCCCATCAGTGATGTCCAACACCCCCATCAGTGGTACCACGCAACTTGAATTTACACTGATAATCCAACACACTAAAAAATATTGAAGTACCAACTGCTTTTAAAGGACACTTATAATCCACATGATTTAATTTTCACTGTATTACCAGTGTAACTTACTTAACGGGATGTCATTTCAGTTAGGCAGTCTGCAATCACATCTCTGTCTAGCAAGCAAGATAAGATAAAACAGACTTAAAGTAGACATCATATCAAATATTTCCTCCTGCTGGCTAACGCAGTGAAGGACTTGCTATTCTCCCCTAAGAAATGGAGAAATTCCACAGGGCTAGAGTAAAACACTTCCTCTTTGATCTTAAGAGTTGGATTCATCGAAAAAAATTACTTTATTGACCCTTAAGAGCTTCAAGAGCCTCAGGTTTAGTTCAACTACAGAAGCATCTCTGGACCCCTTAAAAACTTCCAGGTACCTGTTACTGTAAGTAACAAGCTAAAAGCTATGTTTAGAATTGCACACGCAGTTCAACTCTAGATTACCCTCAATTTCCACAAAACCTATGTAAAATGACACATAAAGTAATAAAAACAGATGCTGTTAATACTTCAAGGTTGGTTAGATGGTGTAACACGTATTACTGAAATAGATCCATAATGGTCAAGTTTGCATGGATTTAAATCCATTGGGATATCTCTCCAAAAACATCTTTGTCCTTCCTAAAGGGCAGATGACTTCACTTGCTCCCTTCCATCCAAATTTTGCTCTTGGGTACATTGTTCGAGCCAGATCCTTAGTGTAAACTGAACAAGAACCTAAGCAGAACAAAGTGCTAAACTTCTGATAATTTCAAAGCAAAAACAAAACCGACATGACATTAACCTATGCAATGAACACTATTCTATCTGTTTACCTTTCAATCTGCACTCTGAAGGAAGACTACAGATAGCATGTGATCACACACTCTGGTAGTAAAGATGAATGCACCAGCTTGACTTCAACTTTTTTTTTTTTTTGCAACGTTTATTGTTTTTATCTTTTCAACCACAGCACAGCAAGTAAGCCACTTATCAACACTGCGAGTGCTACTACAATAACACAAGCAAGGATGAAGCACTAATACAGCATTGCTACTTCAAGGTTCAAAGAATAGCAAATTTTTTGAAGAAATCCTAGCTACTTGCAATTAGGATGTCAGCAACAAGCCATATCTTATCAAAGATTATGAGCATGTAATCACTTATACTCTGTTATTACCTCTAGGAATTAGCCTTTAACCCTAATGAGTAGAAAATATCTTCTCTGCACACATTAAGATCCTACCAACAAACACTGGTAATAAAGCACAGAAGCCGGAAGCCTCTTTCACCCTGTGTTCCTTTCACTTTTTTTCAAAAAGAACTAAGGACACCAGGAACTCAAGGGAAGCAAAAGGGATTCACTTTCTTGTGGCTGTCACAACATCTCCGTGCATCACCAGGCAGGACCACAGTATCACAAAGTGTAAGAGGAGAAAGAAACATGAGTTTTCCTGTCTGCTCTCTACGCTTCTAGAACAGGGAGTTAGTAGAACTCTGAACAACACAGTGCAAGATTAAAGGTGCAGATACACAAGTTAAACTCCAGTACATTTGTTAGTTCTCCCTTACAGAGCAATTAAAAAACCCAATCTTTATTTTTCATTTTACTGCCTGTTTCCAAAGTTCTCAATTTAGAGGATAACTAACACAAAGCTGTGGGTTTGAGGGGGATCTTTGTTTATCATGCACAGTAGGATGCCATTTCCAATCCTGCCTGTTTTACTCTGTCCATTAAGAGCTTATGAACAAGACTTAATTTTGACAAGAGCTAAAACTATACAATACTTGCTTCTGAAAAGAAGTGATCTCACCTGCAAGTCTTAAAATAGAACTGTACTAGATAAACATTACAAGAATTAGGATTTCACAACCTTATGTTCTACATAATGCTACAGAATTTTTATTACAGTAAATACCAATAATCAGGCAAATTGTTATATAAGTGACAGCAGAATTAACAGAACATGAAGGACTTACAGAAGGCACACTTAGCACTCATGATCAGCAACATATCATAACTTTTACTGCAATTCTAACACAGAAATCTTAAATTAACTCAAGTAAGTTAGTCAAGACTTCCTCAGCTTGCAAGTCAAGCGTGCTACGGTATAAAGACTTCTCAGCCACTTTTACACCTATTTCTTAAGGTACAGGGAAGTGGGTCATTACAGTCCACTTTCAAAATCCATCAGCAGCACTGAAAAAACTATTACTTACTCTCAGCTAAAAAGCAAATTTAAGAGACCCTACACACATAATGACTCCTTCTCTCTAAAAATCAAAGCAACAGTTTAGAAGGACGCATTATATGAAGTCGTGCAAATAACCACAAACTTTCCAAATCATGAATTGTAACTGGTACCTAAAAGCTGCAAGCGATCCTTGGCCATTGCCAAATTTGTCATCATTTTAGATTGCAGACGTCGAGCCCGTTCACACTGATCACCTTACAAAGAAAAATCAATGTTAAAACACAGTTTGGCAAATTAACTTTTCTAAGTGCTAAAATACTGACACCCAGCCTTCCCTCCTCTTCCTCCCCCACCCCTTGTCTACTCCCTCCACTAAGGAACATCATTGCAAAACTAATGAAAAAATCCTAAAGCTTTCTATTTAATCAAGATTTTAAAGTTAGTTGTCACTACCTGCTTTACAGTATTGCTCACAGAGTGGTGGGAACCCAAGCATTGCTTTGCATATTCTCTAACATTGTGCGCAGACCTAATGTATGTTCTTTGTCACTGCACTTTTCTAAACAGAAGTCGAATAAAAAAGATTTTTTAAAAGCTTGAAAAGTGACTGAGAGGCAAGTACAATTTCAAATAATTCACTTTGGCAAAATTAACAGATTTAAACTCAGTTGACTGTGTCCCTTTACACTTCAAAACACACAGAATTACAGACATTAATATCAGCACTTCCTAAAAAATAATGTCTGTTCAAGCTTTTTTCTTTTTCTTTAACTGTGCAATTTAGAGGGGTTGTATCAAATGCCACTAGTATTGCTGTGTAAGCAACATGTCACCACATACTATACACAAACATTTCTAAACATAGCTGAGGAACAAAACAGCAATCTGCAAAAACAGTTACAGGTTCAGGGTTTTGGGAGGTGTTTGGGTTATTATTATTATTGTATTATTTTGAGGAGAGAAATTCTTAGCAAGTCCTCCACTACACCTATTTCTCTACGGTACACACCTGCTTCTACACTACAGCTTAAAATGTTTCCACATACGCAGATGCCTTTCTTCCCTTGTTGGAAATATTCAGCTATTTTGGCATAAGCTATTCAGAAACATAATGCTAGACCATTCTAAAATGGGGTGTTTCTTTTTCAGTTATACTGCAGGTAATACAAAATTCTGCATAAGTGAGAACACGAACTGTCAACTTTGGCAAATCAAATCAGAAATTATTATTTTGGCATTCCCATTATATAAGAAATCAAGTGTTTTACTGTAGAATTTTCATTAACTGCTTATGAATTTGGAAAGTCTGAAAATATCTGGAGCAAGATTTGTTTGTATTATAGACCAGAACATTAAGGTAGAACAGAGAAATGGACTAGTGTTCATCCACAGCTAAAACAGGAATAAGAAACACTCTCACAAATAAATTCATACAGCAGACCATTCCTAGCACCTACCATATGTAGCAATGTTGATTCCTCACTTTCAAGAAGCCATAAACCAAAATCTTTTCCACAAAACTAAAAACTGGCTTACCTTGACCAATTACTAAGACAGCTATTCCTTTTTCCAGTTCTTCAATTCCTTTCTTATACCATTCAACAGCTTGTTCCTTTTGTCCTGCTTAAAAAGGAAGTGAACCCATTATTTTCTGTAATCAATTAAAGCTTAGGAATGGTTCCATATAACGCTGTGTAAAACAAGTAAGAGGAAGGCAGAGATATGTGTACAAAATTCTACGATTTAAAGAAACGCTTAAAGGGACACTGTCAACTTTATATCTACTGAGTTTCAAATAAGCATTTCCATTAAAAACAGGTACTACACCAGCCTCAAATCACTTTTGCCTGTTTTAGGAATACTTCTCCATCCACCTTAAAGAGATCAATACCCTAAAAACAAAACAAAACAAAAACACCACCAAAAAAAAAAAAGGTAAAAAAGCTAGCCTACACATACCCATTCACAACAGAAATGGTGAAATTCAGAGTTTTTCTTTCTGGAATATCAAATTGAGACACGCCTCTCAACCTTGTGATAGCCAATACCAAAGTAACACCAGAAGCACAGAAACTCAAGAAGAAAAGCAATGAGTCTAAGATGCTACATGAGTGAGACAAGATACTTATACTCCGGTTAACTTTTGTAAAGAGCAGCTCATTTGTCGTGGGGGTATTTCTTTGTTCATCCTGTCATGAAACTGGTGTGTTGCAGGTGTATGTCCACTTTCACATAAAGTACAATACATATAGGATTAAGTACACCTCTGTACAAACAATGTCCTAAATGGACATTACAGAAAATACAGCCATGAACATACCTATGCCTAACCTATACTATCTGACACCATGACAGCAGATAACCCTTGAAGAGATAGCCATATCTACTCCATACTGCTCCCCTTCTATAAATTCTCCTCATTAAGAAGATACTTGCCTGCGTATGGAAAACATACTTTTGTGAGGTAACTATGTCACACTGATCACGCCTTTCCATGCAGGAGTACAACACATTAGGCATTACAATTTGAATCTGATTAGCGTTAACAAGCTGCTAGTGCTAGAAAAAAACCCCAAAAATGCCTAGAACGAAACCTTCAGATATCATTACCCTAGTTTCAGAAGACAGAACGTTTCACAAAACTATTCCTCTGTGTCAGTTACCAGTGACTGTGTTGCTCCTGCGCTCAAATCTTTTGATAACTTCAGTCCCAAACCTATTTTCTAGCAAATTTTAGTGCCAGTGAAAATATTTCAATACATGTCTAGAACCCTCTTAAGGGTTTTTTCATGCTCATCTCCAGATGCAAAACCTTTTAATAACATTTGACAAGTTACCCTGTGTAGATAATTCCATGCTTTGCTCTTCCTACCAACACAAACCACAGGAGCAGCACCCTCCTACAGTCATGTACACCACACACCCTGGGAATCATTTCATTACTGCCCCTTCTCCGCCAGCTTCATACATCCTGACTGTTAAGGACAAAGCTAGATAAATTAAATCAAAGCTGAGTGACTTGGATCCTCTCTGCAGCCTTTTTTCTTTTAAGCTTCTCCCCATCACCTAAAGTTTCAACTGCAGTGTAAATCTAATGCCGATTATGGCTATCAGAAATAAAATTTGAGATGATTCCAGCCACCTCTGCTACTGCCTGAATTGCTTTGCTGTTCTGAAGAGCAGCTGCGACTGTGCCAAGGTCATCAACTAAATCTCAGTTCCAACTTTTCACTGGAGAAGTTTTAAAAGCAATATACGAAACCGAGCTGTTTGCAAAGGTAGTGCTCTGAATCCACACAGAACAGTTTACCAGTTCTCAGTGACGAAGACATTAAAAGTGCAATTAAAAAAAAAACTCGCATTCCTTAGAAGTCACTGATTTGCTGTACTGGGTCTGGCTGGGATGGAGTTAATTTCTTCGTAGCAATGAAACAGTATGGTGCTGTGTTTTGGATTTGTGAATAAACAGGTGTTGATAACACACCAGTGTTTTGGTTATTGCTGAACAGGTTGTACAGCCTCAAGGTTTTCTTTCTCCTGCTCCAGATCGCAGCCAGTAGGCTGGTAATGCACAAGAATCTGGGAGGGGACATCGGCCAAAGGGACAGTCCATAACATATAAAATAACACCATGCACAGCAACAACAACCTTGGTAGAGGAAGACCAGCGTGGGGGCTGTCTACCAAGGCAGCCCTTGCCCAGAAACTGGCTGGGCATTAGTAAGCAATGGCCTTTGCATCACTTGTCTGCCACCCCTTTTCCTTTTTCCTTCGCTTATTAGCGTGTCTTTATGCCCAAGTTTTCTCACCTTCGCTCTTCCTATTCTCTCCCCTGTCCCACTGAGGGGAGTAAACAAGCAGCTATGTGGCTGCTTAGCTGCTGGCTGGGGTCAACCCACCACACGTGTCTTCTCAGTCCCAAGAGAAGATGTTAAGCTTGATTTTGAAAATACCAGAACAGGAATATTCATTTACCCAATAATTTAGAAGCATAAAAATTACCAGAAGTGCTATGATAATTACTGAAGAGTGCATAGCTTCCAGGACAGCAAACACGCCACATAGTTAACAGGATATTACAGAATCACAGAATGTTCGGGGTTGGAAGGGACCTTTGTGGGTCATCTAGTCCACCCCCCCGGCTGAAGAAGGGTCACCTACAGCAGGTTGCACAGGACCTTGTCCAGGCGGGTCTTGAATATCTCCAGAGAAGGAGACTCCACAACCTCCCTGGGCAGCCTGTTCCAGGGCTCCGTCACCCTCAGAGAAATTATTCCTCACATTCAGACAGAACTTCTTCTGCTTCAGTTTGTGCCCATTGCCCCTTGTCCTGTCGCTGGGCACCACTGAAAAGAGTCTGGCCCCATCCTCCTGACACCCACCCTTGAGATATTTATAGGCATTTATAAGGTCCCCTCGCAGCCTTCTCTTCTTCAGGCTGAACAAGCCCAGCTCCCTCAGCCTCTCCTCGTAGGAGAGATGCTCCAGTCCTCTCATCATCTTTGCAGCCCTCCGCTGGACTCTCTCCAGTAGCTCCTCATCTATAGTAGACAATCCAAAAATTCTAACCATTTCACATAGCATCCCTAATAAATTGGTTTCTGTTAGGTTATAAAAAAACTTGTTTATATATCAGATAAATTCAAAGGTATGCATGTATTCCTGTAAAAACAGATAAGCAAATAATAAATCTATGTATTAAAGCAAACTGAGTTCTTTTTCAGTGAAATGAATTTGCACTTGTAGGGTTGTAACTGTTTTGAAACTGCTTGTGTTAGCAGCAAAGATTCTTTTCTTACTAAATGTATGACCTGTGCAGCTAATTCATGTATGACAACTCTAAAATATCTATAAGGTAAGTCCATGACTGCAGTCTACATCTGAAGGCTTACCCTTCCAACCGCCAGCAGTTATAAGCCGCAACAGCCGAACAGGCACCTGATAATTCACGACTTAGCTACTCTTCACAGAGCAACCATCAGCAACGCTGAAGTTTTAAGCTACTTCACCTTCCTCCGTGCTTCGCTCCTCATCTGTTCCGAGCTAACCTTGCCGCACGTGGTGGGTTTTCGTCTCCCAGAGCTTACCACTGCCGCTCCCAAATCGCCAACGCGAAGCAAGACACATCCCTCGCTTTTCTGGCGCCCTCAGCATGTAGCTTCCATTGAAGGCCTATTCCTGTGGTTCTAACCTCCTCCTCCAGGACAGCAGTTTCACTAGAGCTCAACTGAAAGGGTGCAATAAGGTATTCTGACATTTCCAGGGAATTCCAAAACCCAGCGCAGCATGCCCCTAAGGACCACCTTCCAGATGCTGACACAGGTGTGCTGCTGCCTTTGGACCAAACGCTCAAGCAAACGCACTAGCAGTTGCTTCTTTTTTTTATGCTCTATATAGATAAAAAAATAGTAATTCCCCACTCCTTCATTTTATTTACCCTAAACGCCCTCCTTAACATCTCCCAGTCACGCAGTGATAAGGTTTTTTTAAGCATAAGCCTGTCAAAGAGTTTAAGAAAAATATTTTTTAAAAAACCACAGCCAAAATCCTGAGAAGTGTTTCTTTCCTGACAGGCCGGGCGGCTGCAGCGGGGCGGCCCGAGCGCCAGGTTTCCCCGCGACCCACTGTCCCCC